ATCCAACACTTGTTCCATGGAGAGAACCACTCTCGAGCTCCCCACGCCACCCTTTGATGTCAAGGACCTTTTTCACTAGGCTCGTGACCAGCCTGGCTGCTGGTCGATCTCGGAGAAATTTGGCAAGCGAAGCACGGAGTCTGAATTGTAGCAGGTCGTGCCGCTTTAGGTAATGGGGACAGACACAGATACTGTCAAACACTACGGTGTCCGCAATATTTAAGATAGGTTTTAATGTTATCCGGAATGCAAAGAACATTTTTGAAATTTAAACTAACATATATATGGGCACATAACTTCAAATTTTGGCAGTGTTTTGTGCAAAATCCAAAATATAAAGCTTTGGCAGCTATTTTGGCACTGACCATATGTCACCGAAAATAAGAAATATTGTCAGATTTTGAGCGTGTGCTTGAATTTAAAGTTTTATTATGACGTTCAACTTGGGACAATTACTTGAAGTTTGGTCCATGGTCACTATGTTAAGTTGTATCAAACAATTAGACCCTGCCGAAAATATCAAGTTCACGGCGGCAACAAAATGCGATGACGAAACTTCAAGTTTTGTCTTCAGATTAAATATATCGCCCGATCATCGCCCGCCCATCGCCTGCCCATTGCCCGCTCACACGCCTGTAAAAATGCAAGAGATTAAATAAATATATTCATATTGAAAGCTATAACAATTGAGTCAGGAGAGTTATAGATATTGCTAGGTAGTTTCAGTCGTGAGATAAGGATAGAATCACAGCGTGACGGTCAGAAACCCTCCATCGCGCAAAGTGACTAACAACCCATGACACCTTGGCATTTTCAAGGCGGGTTTCGAAGTCTGTCGAGTACAATTTCGCCAGAAAATAAGGGTACATTGAGAAGGGATCGACGGTATGGTGATCTAGCGGGATATGTCGCTGTACAGCAAACAATAACTCTCCTGTCAGCATACTGTAAATGTATTTGATACTGGCGGCGACAGGGGTTAACGACTGATCTCCGCGAGGATAGAAGAAAATCTGGCTGTTGCCCAAGTGTGTAGACGCCTTACTGTAGATCACACCGTCGAACTTGAGTGTAGCGCGTAATACCGCCGTTCGTCGTCTGATGAGGGTATACAGGTCTTCAGGCACCGCACTAGTTGCTGCACAGTCGGCAACCTTGATGGCATCATTCATAGGATCTTCGGCAAGCTCATGGATAGAACTCGTAGCGCTCTTATTGAATACTCGATCAAACAGGACCCCACACTCTTGAATAGCAGGCGGACAGTCTGGTCAGGTGAGCCAACGGCGAAGTCTTGCAGCTTTGATATAGGAAAGAAGCATTGTATTTTCAAGCTCCCCTAACAGGATTAAGTCTAACTTTCTCGTTCGTGCTTTGAAAGGACGTACCAGATTTGTGATTGATAGGAATGCATTGTATAATTCCAATTAAACGTTCGAAAGGAAAAGACCACCACGAGTGAGCAGGCCCGAATAGGAGCAGATAATCATATATATGGAACGATGCATGGTGATTCGGTCGCACTGAGAAGGTGGGATGAATTGTCTGCAACTTTCCGACATAAGCAGCGATATGCGAGCAATAGGCTTGAGCCCTTCTCGGTGTCATTGTTCGTGCACAAGCAAGATACACTGCACCGACTAATTCCATAGTGTGATCGAGGATAGTTTTGAGGCGAACAGCAATTTCGTCAGAAGAATGCGATGTACCAGCTCCCCACAAGCTCATGAGGGCGATGGGAAGATAGATCGTGATAAGGGATCGCCACTCATCAGCCTTAATTGTCCCAGCAGATGCCTCGCCAAAATTCTTGGGGACGGAACCAAGCCAAGTGGGGGTGGTCGTATCACGGATGACGTTACGGATTCGATCAAGTACTTCTGCTGTCTTGAACAAACGAACTTTTCGAGGGGCCGCTAGAGGTTGTCCGCGACGCTGTGAAGTGCGTGTTAGAGAAATTGATGGCAAGAAACATCACAGCGAAGAGCTTACCCAATCAACAAGAGCCTTGACGTAGTCAATCTTCAGCGTTCTGCCAACTTTCTGGGGCATACAATGTAAAGAATTGCAGGCAAATCTCAACGGTCCGGAATTTTTATGAGACAGAGTGCTTTTTAGCTTGTCAAAGTGTTCCTCCAGTTGATTATCGTCGCCAGAACCTATGTGAGATGCGAGGAGGGTGCGAATCACGGATATCTGTGTTACCTCTTTGGCTGTCATTGTCCCGGGAGGTATTTCGCCAATGTCACACGCAAATGCCGGGGAGGGCGATGTCGATGTGGTCGACTCTGAGGTTAAACCGAGAAGATGTCGGGTGTGGTGTTGGGCCAAGCCTTCCAATATGCAGTGCATCAGATCAATGACAAGTTGCCGGGAGGGGTCCCAGTATGGTAAGCGCCAGAGTTCGGAATAGCGCACGCCATGAGCCTTGAACAGTCTTTCATGTTCAGAGGATGTAGCAGCGTCTCTCCACTGCTCAGCATATTCTCGCAATGTTACTTTGTTGCGAGGTTCCCACTTCTCGAAGTCGACTCTTCCACAGGTAGACTTATGATAACAATTGCACGCACTGCAATAGAAGTGACTGCCAACTCCAGCCATAGAAGCAATATGACGAGCGGCGGAGAGGTCACAGACAACAGGGGCGATGGCGCTATGAGTAAGCCGGCCATGGGGGTAACAAGCCGTTTTAGAGAACTTGATACCGCGCTGCCATGCATCTACCAAATCATTGATGAGGGGTCGGATGTAGTGGTTGAGGTTCTCCAGTGACGGCTGCTTCGGACCTGGGATGATACCCGCAACATACATATTCTCCGGCTTGTATCTGATATCCACCGGTAAATTTAAGCATGCCATAGAGATGATTCCGCATGATGTACTGGCGCTGTGGATATTCAGACCTTCCGGATTGAAAAAATCCACATGGAGAGCGAAGACATAGCGTCCCTCCTCTCCTCTATCAACAAAAAGTGAACCCGGCTGAGGACCATCGAACTGGCGGAGAAATTGAGCTTCAAAGGGGGTTTTGATGAAGGACGGATGGGGGGAATCGATGGAGTCCATCAGATTGTCGCATGCCTGATCCATCACGGCCTCGATATCTCTACGAGAGAGAAGACCGAACAGATAATCCTTGAAATCGTGGTACATGAAGGTCCTCCTGGGTCGGAAATTTCCATCAGCACCAACAAGCAAAGCCTCGCCACATTCGGTCGTGAGCATGGGACGATGAGTGCACCGTTCAGGATATACTGGAGTCATCGAGCCTGGTGCATAAGTTGGTGGATAGGTGCAATGGCAACTGCACACAGCATACGGGACAATCTTTCCCTTGAGATGGAATCTGGCCTTGGCGCTTTCTGAGGTCATTGGGATCTGCTTTAGGATATTTGTCTGGGAGGAGTTGAGGCTGTTATCTGGTCTCCGGAATGCGAGAAATAGTATGACGGAAATGATCTTCATGATTAGATCACAACTACTCCTGCTGACCCCTATGATAACTCTGCATGCGACGCCAAGGAAGAGAACGATTTGAGTGATTTCATCTAACTCGTTCACTGGATCTTGCGGAAGGGTATCTACTGAACGATAAGCAAAGAACTGTCATGATGATCCGCATGCTCACTTACCGGTATTGATCTCGACGGGTGTATCATCGGATGGCTCGTGACTGCTGCACTGGGTTGCCAATATGTCTATCTGCGATTCGATCGCCTTCTTTTGTGCAATCACGATATCGGTCTGCCGAATGACATTTTGCATGGCTTTACGGAGTAAATGTAGTTCGCGACCAATGTGATCAATGCGACAAGAATGCAGCAACAAGTGAAAGCATTGCTGGATCCGAAACTTGATGTTGTCAAGGACAACCAACGCCTTCGCGGTGCGTCGATTGCATCCCTTTTTCGAGACAGGTACTGTGTCAGGTTTGAGCTCGACAGTACAAACTGTCGAGCTCGGAGAAATATTGACCGGTACATCCGTATCAAGGGTCAAGCGACGAAGATCGTCGGCGATGACGGCGACTGATGACGTGTTGTCTGCAAAGGTGCATGCGGCAAGGTCAGTGGCAGAAAAATCTACGTCAATAATCACACTGTTACCTGCGGCGCGTTCCGCTTGTACACGCAAGATATGAGACACGATTAAGTGTTCGGCCATGAGCACTCCTGTTGGTGCGCCTTTCTCGTCATATCCGCCTTTCTCAATGCACTCCTCGCAAAGGCATCGTTTGAGTGTTGCACGGGCTACGGGCATGGAGAATTGAGGGAGGTTGGTAATTGGGTGATTGGAAGTAGATCCTGGCATAGCGGGACTTAAATGAAAAAAAAAACAAGGAAAGAATGAAGCAACTCACAAACAAGGCATCGGAGACAAATGCCAACGACGAAGTACAAGGTGATTGCCTATATGGACACTATTCGGATGCATGACAAGGGACAATGGAACAATACATACCGTAATATAGATCTGATGAGACAAGTGCAATGGAATTCCAAGTGCCCGAGTGGTCACGCAATCCGGTCGTATCGTCGGGAAAATTCCATGTTCGCAAATGTCGATGAGGAACGGTAAGCTCAACAGTACAAACTATCGGGCTCAGAGTGACGAAAGTAGTTTTGTATAACGAAGGATGGCTCGCTGGTCTGACCAAGCGTCAAGTCGAGAGATTGACGATCTCGGAGAAGGAATTCAGGTGGATGAAAGTCGCGGTTGTGTAGACGAGATTCTGGGGAAGATGTCATGTTTTTGCAATGTGCAGATAGTAATGTACTCACTAATGAGAGAATTTTGTGTTGCTATGCCCCTCCGCTGTATGTACGGTGGAGGAGTCGAGACGAGCAGAGAAACAGAGATGGTGTTTGATATGGTGTCCTACGAGGCAGTTGTCGAATTGCGCTGGGTGAAACCTATGCGGTGTATAACCCCTTCAGCAGTGAGTTAATGGGTGTGCTGGGTGATACTTTTTTTTTTGTAAGTTAACAGTATGTCTATCATTATATGAGAATAACATCTTTCCCCCCTGAACTATCTTCCCTAGTATCAACCCATCGTACCCTCAGCGCCTCATAAAATACCCTCTCGGCTTCAGCAGTGATCTCGTCTTTTTCACCAATGGCGCTTTCTTCACCTACATCTCCTTCTGCCTCTCGAATGGCCTCCATAAGCCTTTCTGCCAATTCGCGCAGCATCAGGATATCGCTCTTTTCGTGGTTTTTTTCTTGTGCATGCGGTACTTTGTCCAACACCGCTTCGCGCACACTCGCTTCAAGATTATTAGCGAAGAACACCCGTGTATGTCTCATGCGCTGGCCAAGGTCTGCTGACAGCGCCATCGTGTCCTGGAGACATAAGTTAGTGAATTATATTGCCAAGTTAATGATGACTAACATAGTTCACATAGTTCATCAAGAAACATAAGGTCACCAATAGGGCACTTGCGTGAATCAAGATTGTGAAAATGCGCGTTAGTGCACACGACAGAGACCAGGATTCTTTCGAGGTGATGGTTTCCTTTTTCATGCCATAGTCGTAGACCCATAAATTGACTGTAGCCTTATGCCTTAGTGCTTGCAATGCACTGGTGACTATGCAGCGCCCGTTAATATCACGTGTCTGAAATACAATCAGCACCACATCTCCGAATCAAGTCAACACCTACGGCTATTGTCTGCACCAGGCCGGCATTGGAGTGATGAAGACTCTCCAGTAACTTCCCCGTTTTCCTCTCGAATATATATACCAAACCATTGTCACTCCCACCTACCACCAACCTCCCTTCGGCACCGAATGCCACCTGCTTTGGGACTGATACACTGGGAGGAGCGGTGATGAAAGTTCGAACTGGCTCCTCATCACCGAGAAGTCAGTACAATGTAAACCCGTCGGTTGCGTTGTCTACCACGAACACACCCCTCTTCTGGTTGATTGCCGCATGTCCACTGAAGGAAGAGCGTCAGTCATACTTCGGCAGCTTGCGGTGAATCCTCACATCACTGATTGGCAACTATATTCCTTCACTACTGTGCCGTCATCCCCCTTCAGCTTGATGAAGTTGCCGTCATATAGTCCAAACACATAAACACCTTTATCGTCTGCAAATGCTACAGACTTTGGCACAGTGTTGTCCAGTCGCACCACGAAAACGGCCTCCAGTTGCGAGTTCGTGTTTAGAACAAGTACCTGAACTATCTTGTCCCTTGTTCCGACTGCAATCCGAGTACTCCCTTCAGAGGACATATCCCATGACAGACATGTAATCTCGAAGCCCGATCCGAGCCTCCTGGTGCAAGTCTCCTGAAAAAGCATCTGTTCGACATTAGGCGAGAACTCGATGATGAACAGGACATCCTTACATCTACTGGGCTACATCACAAAAACACGATGTAACCAAGCCCTGTTCCATAGCAAAGGGTTTCTGTCATGGCCAGTCTTGTCGTAATCCAGACAGCGCAGCTGACTGTGCCTCAGGACTCGTAGTTATGAGATGAGCATGTGAGTTCTTTCCGAGATTTGATATCCCAGACTTTAATGCCCTCGGTGCCTGTTTATTTTATTAGCGCTCCAATAATTAGAACGTGTGTGATTTACCGCCGCATGCAAGAGCTTGGCCATCATTAGATACTGCGAGCGCATGGACAGACCCACTTGTTGTGAGGCGGGCTTGATGCTGGAAGCGTTGGGTTGACTGCCTGAATGGAGACCAGGAATAAAAAAACATCGCTGGGGTGATCTTAATCGGTGTGTGCTCAGGTCAGGTTCTCAAGTTCACTAGCTCAATTCAACAATCTTTATACTAGGGGCTTTTTGTGATTCTATGGCGACTTTGTGCTTTCTGGCTGTTTGTATTCGTCTTTTATGAGCGACGTGTCAGCCTTTCCTAGACAACCTCGCTTTTTGTTGCTTTTTGTTGATTCTTCGTCTTTTGGCATTTTTTTTATTCTAATTACGACACTTATCTTTACGACTTTTGTAGTAATTTGCTTCAAAACTTCGTGTCGTTGATCCCGGTCTTTATTGTTTTAACATAATATTGTTGCTCTAATGTGTCAACTCATAAAACCTACTAGATCCAGCCGCTCACATCGCCAGCTTGACCCACTAATATCGCCAGCCTGACCCGCTCACATCGCCATCTTGATCCACCTTACATTGACTTACAGATCATGCGCAACACATCAAAAGCTGTCTCTCCCTTTCACGATCCAGAGCCTGGTGCTCCACCCCTTCCCACCTATGCTTACCGACCAGCTCAAACTTTTTGGCAGCCCTCATCATTCGACTATGCTCATTACTGATGAGATTCTCCTGCCAAAGGTTAGCATCATTTTTTTTGTCTTGCTCCTCATACTGAGAGCATTTGCAGCCCAAGAACACGCTGGCGCCTGAGTTCAAGCTTGCGGTACGCCCATCCAAGAATACCCATCCTTCCTCACCATACCCGAAGAGAGTCTCTCTCGAGCGTTCTCGTTCTCGTTCTCGTTCTCGGACACCCATTCCCTCGGATTCATCAGGCTCCTTCAATTCGCTATCAGACAGTGACTCGTCAACTTCAGCTGCAAGTTTATCAGAAGACTCGAAGATTCCAAAGCCTGCTGGTGAGCCCGGTCGTCCTGGGCGTGGAGGATACACACTCCGCGAGGCTTTGGATTGGAGTCCAAAGGCATACACCAAGTTTAAGGTTAGTAACACACTCCCACTGATGTATGCCTTTTATTTATCGACACCTCTAGAATTCTATGCACCACCTCATCGAAGAGCACCTCGATATGACGAAGTGTGCCTCCTCCCAAAGTCCTATCCTTCTGAAGACTGTCCGCGACAAAGTCAGTACTCGATCTTCATTTATCCATGACCTCATGGTTTATGGTTTATTAGGCTGTCGATGCTTTCCCCGACCTAGAAAATTATAGCGAATTCTGGCCAGTTAACGATATGATCATGATGCACCTGAAATATACATCAGGTCGTGCTAGGCAGAAAGAAGCAGGGATGGTTACGGGAAAGAGTAAGAAACATACTCCCAAGGTCAGTATATTCTACTCCGAAAGTCGACGCTAATACAATGACATCTACAGAAAAGTTGATTCATTCTCACTATACCCGTAACTTAACTTAGATGAATCCCCTTATCATTACCATGTTTGTGATCACAATGCCCGAACTAGTTAGAGTACACACTTCAAATTGTCTTGGTCTAATTATCCCGTGGGTATATCACATGTTATTGAAAGACCGACAAGTGAATGTGTGCTAAGCTTGTCACATGGTGTGAAATTTTCAAATTGACAATTACATATGTACTCTCAGTGACTGCGCCTTAATTCACTCTCTAGTGCGCCTGCAGTACTTGCAGTACTTCCATAGTCATTTACTACCTTATTTCAAACACTGGGATGCAAGACGAGTGATCTTCCGAACAGTAATATATGTTTGGGTCAAACATGCTGCATTCGGATATGCTAATATTATCTTCCTATTATCTTCCTGTGATAGCAGTAGCCTTGTTAGGCGGCTTTGAGAACAGCGATGTTTCAGCAACCGCCATGTCAAAACATTTTCTCTCATCTGAACTCGGGCTAAAAATCGCTTCGTTACACCCACTGGGTGTCATCCAATCCGACATCTCCTCCATGGACAAACTGACATCCTGTGAGCTCAATCGCCTGATCACCCAAGAAACCCGCCGCGAAGGAGATGCTAATGATATGGGACATCTATTACCTTTGATCTTCAATTCGTTCGACCCCGCGAACTTGCCCGCAACAGATACCCTCGTAGATTCAACCAACAAGCCGCTCTACGACACTACCATGAAACAATGGCCCTTAGCGCTTCCCAGGAAGGGTGAGGCCATCGAGAAGACATTCCCATTCTTCCTCAACAACCTCACCAAAGCCCTCCTCCGATCATTTCCTTCGTTAGGCATGTTTCCTCCACTATGGTACGGTTCGAGTTCTACCGTGCCCATTGAAAGCGAGCATGTTCAATGAAAACCCGATGTCTGCTTATCCAAGCACACGGAGTTGCGTTGGAACACTATACTGGTAGTCGCTGAGCTCACCACAACCTCGTACACCCCTTCAATACCTGCCGGAAAGACGCTTGACACAAAGGCATGGCTCATTTTCAGAGAGCAACCGTGGAGGCGTTTCGTACTATCTCTTTCCTTCAGCAATAATTATCACGAACTCCGTGTACATGTACATGACCATTTGGGTGGCATTGTGACCCCAGAAATCAATATACATGAGAATCCTGATGCTTTCAAACGCGTCATGGCATGCATCGTTTTTGGTCGACGTGACTGCATTGGATTTGACCTCACGATCACAATCAACCCAAAGATGACGAGCTTGTTGTCCGGGGCATTTTGGGCCCGAAACATCAAAGGTCTTCCCAAGCGAAGGAGTCGAGCCGCCCGCCTGAAGCTATCTTCACTAGATGCGCAGATAGTGCTGACACAATCTCACACACTGGACACACAGACAAAGTTTCATTCGCTTCCCGACCATCTTCTGTCTCCCAACGAGTTCGCAAATGAGCCTGAGGCAGACTCCACACCCCTTGTTGATGCGCCAGATCTCAAGAATACAGACGCTGAGGTTGACAATGTGATAGGACAGATCGCCGTCAATGAAAACATATACAACTTGCTGAAGGTGATCTTCTGCAATCAAGGACTTGTGGGCCGCAGAACCGTTTGCTACCTGGCTCGGAGAGATGGCGAGGAGTTTATTATTAAGGATCATTGGGTGAAAGGCGACAAGAGTGTAGTGTTGAATGAGGTGGAGATGCTGAAAGCTCTGAAGGATATCCCTGGTGTTCCCCAATACGTGGAACACTGTCTCGTGGAGGTAGAGCCGGGCAAAGTCGACGATACGCAAATGTATCGCCAGAAGATCTATAATAGCACCCAAGGTGTCTATCACACGCATGTCTGTCTCGTCTTGAAACCACGGGCTCGTCCTTTACACGAGTTTTGAACTAGAAAAGAGCTCGTCAAAGCGTTACGTGATATTGTGCTAAGTAAGTGAGCCTGTCGTATTAGTTAGTACATATCTGATTGAACCGTCACAGTTCAAAAGCGTGCAGTTGAAGAGCACCAGGTTTTGCACAGAGACTGCAGTCTAAATAACTCCATGATAGAAGACACCGAATATGGCAGTCGAGGGGCGCTAATAGACTGGGAATTCGCGGCACGCATCACATTGGACGATATGTATTCTGCCGGTGGAACAGTAGGCGCCTTATTTGTTCAGTGAGCAATGAATGACTAATTTTTCAGGGAACCATACCCTTTATGTCCGTCAGCGCCCTTAGGGCAATGGGCAAGCTAAATTATCAATACTCGCAGGGTATGAAGTCGGTAAAAGAGCTTAAGCTAGCCACGGACCATTCGACTCCCCAAAAGATGCCCAAAATCAAGCATACATACCACGACGACCTTGAATCGATGTTTTACGTTTTTGCCTGGATTGGCATAATGTTCAAGGGACCTATGGGTGAAGAGCGCTGCCTTGAGGACGTCGTGGACCGTGATCCTGACAAAATGGAGATGTGGCTACCAGAGCAATGGCATGGTACGCCGGAAGAAGTCACTCAAAAAGCCAAAGTGAAGCACTATTTTTTCCTTGGAGATTCGATGAAACAGTGCATCGGAGAACAATTCGCCCCCTATTTCCAAAAGCTCGTTCCTCTAGCAGAGGAGTGGTATGACCTCATGAGTGAGAAGAGGATGAAGGTCGAGTTTGACGAAGTGGTCTCATTATTCGACAAGCACATCAACGCGCTTCCAGACGAAGAGGACTCTGATGAGTTGTCGAAGAAGGCCAAGAGGTTGGGTGATGGGAAGGAGGGGAAGAATGATGTTACTCCCGCTCCATCGAAGCGAACTAAAGTTGAAGTGAGCTTGTAACGATTTACTCAGTTTACATTTACGTGCATCATGACGGTCGAATAAACTGTGCGCGATGGATTTGTCGCTGGCTACGTCGACAAAGGTATTTTGATGAGTCCGTAAAAGATGCAATGAGATAGCGTCTCAGTAATGCAAGATGCCATTGTTATTGTGCAGTGAAGACAAAAGATAGCGTCCCAGCAGTACAAACGGCTTGGTGAAGCAGTGAGGGAGAAAGTAGCGTCGTCCCGGTACAAACGGCAGGAAAGGTAGCATCCCAGCAGTACAAACTGCTCGGTGAATAGTCATAAAGTGACATAAAGTGACATCGCCTAAGACA